CAGTGGATTAGGGTACCTTTTCCCCCACATCCTTCACAGAATTTGTTATTTGTTGATTTCTGTATGAGAGCCTTTCTAATTGGAGTGAGGTGGAACCTTAGTTGTTTCTAGTTTTGTGTTATATCTAAGAAGTTTTTGTTTAATCCAAAGTCAACATATTTTCATATTTTCTTCTAAGAGCTTTATGGTTTTAGCTCTCATATTTGTTTTTGATAAATTAGTATCAACTGAATTTTAATAGTATACAAAAACCTTGTTTCAATTTAATTCCATTTCCTTATCTTCTTTCATGCTATTATTGTCAAATTATATCCATATATATTTTATGTCCATAAACACAGACTAACAGCTTTTGTTTTCAGCTGTCTTCTGATTTCATATCAGACAGGAAGGAAATTAGTGTTATAAACAATGCATTCATCCTATTATCTGTTAGTTACATGTATCCTTCATGTATCCTTTCATTTCAGCCTGAAGGATTCCTTTAGTATTTCTTTTATGGCAAGTTCTACTGAATTTTCTATTTTTCTTGATCTGAGAATATTGTAATTTCTCTTTGGTTTTTGAGTGACAGTGTTGCAGGTATATAAATTATTTGTTGACAATTTTTCTTTCAGGGCTTTGAATATTTACTTCACTGCCTTTTGTTCTCCACAGTTTCTCATGATAAATAAGCTGTTAATATTATTGAGAAGCCGTAGCATATTAAGATTCATTTCTCTCTTGCAGATTTCAAGATGTGGCTTTTAATGGGTAGGGTTGTAGCACAGAAGATAAAGTCACCACCTGCAATACCAGCATCCCATATGGGTGACACGTTGATATTCCAGCTACTCCATTTCCTATCCAGCTCCCTAATGGCAAATAGAAAATGGTCTAAGTACTTGAGTCCCTGCCATTCACTTGGGAGACCCAGATAAACTTCTGGCTCCTGGCTTTAGTTTGGCCCAGCTTTGGCCATTGCAGCCATCTGGGGGAGTGAATCAATGAATGGAAGCTCTCTCTTACTGTCTCCCTCTCTTTGTGTAACTATGATGTTAAATAGATAAACAAATCTTTTTAAAAAGATTTGGCTTTTGCTATTTTAATTATGTGTCCAGATGTACATCTCTTTAATTGTATCCCGCATGTGGCTTTTTGACCCTCATGGGTTTGAAGATTAACGCTTTTCACCAAATTTGGAGAATTTGTGTCTATTATTTCTTTAAATATTCCCTATCTCCCCCTTTCCTTTTTTTCCTTTCCTTCTTCAGTTCACATTACGTATGTGTTTGCATACATGATGACCTCTCATGGGTCTATGATACTGTGCTTATTTTTCTTTATTCTCTTTTCTATTTAGTCCTCAAATTGGGTAACCCCAAATAACCCACTGTCATGTTTTCTAGCTCTATCTTCTGCTTTTGAAAATCTGTTAGTTCTTCATATTAAATTTTCATTTCAGTTATTGTACTTTTAAACTCCAGATTACATATTTTTATAAAAAGTAATTTAACATTTTAAATATTATTTATTTGAAAGAGAGAGAGAGAGTACCCTCATCATATTTGCACCCCAAATTCTCCCAAGAAACCCCAACTAGGGTTGAAGCTGGGAGCTAGAAACTCAGTCCAGGTCCCCTACATGTGTGGCAGAAACTCAATTACTTGAGCCATCACCAGTGCCTCCTAGGGCTTGTTTCAGCAAGAAGCTGGTGTCAGGAATAGAACTAAGTATTGAATCCAGGCCCACTGACACATGCATCTTAGCAGGTACCTTAACCTCTAAATCAAATCCTAATATTTTTAATATTTTTAATCTCCATATAGATATTCCCTGTTTACCAAGATATTAATTGCCATATTTTATTTGTTTAGACATATTTCTTCTTAGTTCTTTGAACGTATTTCAAATATTTTGATGTGAAGTCTTATTTAGTAAGTCCAAGATCTGGGCTTCCCTCATGGAAAATACTTTTTTTTTTTAAGATTTAGTTATTTATTTGAAAAGCAGAGTTACAGAGAGGCAGAGGCAGAGAGAGAGAGAGAGAAAAATCTTCCATTTTCTGGTTCACTCCCCAGATGAACACAACAGCTGGAGTTGCATTAATCTGAAGCCAGGAGCCAGGAGCATCCTCCGGGTCTCCCATGCAGGTGCAGGGGCCCAAGGACTTGGGCAATCTTCTACTGTTTTCCCAGGCCATAGCAGAGAGCTGGATCAGAAATAGAAGAGCTGAAACTTGAACCACCGCCCATATGGGATGCCAGCACTACAGACAGCAGCTTTACCTGCTACGCCACAGTGCCACAGCGCTGGCCCCAGATAACCCTTTTTACCTATGTATGAGCTAGTTTCTTTTATCTAGGTATGTCTTTTTTTTGTTGTTGAAAATCAAACATGTTAAATATTACAAAAGGGCAAATCTGAAAATCTTTCTCTACCCCTCACTCTCTGCCACTCCCCCACTGCCCACATGTGATGTGTTGGGGAATGGATTTGTTGTGCGTTGAGGTGTGCCTTCAACACTAACACAGACAGCTCACAACTCCTAGTCTTAACGTCCTCCTGTCATATAGCCTCAGGGCCAATCATAGATGGAGCTTAAGACCTTCTAAGGTCTCCTTGAACATGTAGACAGTACATGCCATGTGTGCACCTTCATATTTATGCATGACCTTCTAGATTCCAAGGAATAAATCAAAACTTTCAAAGACTACATTAGCCTATGTCAAATACTTAGTTATATTAACACAAAGCTAATACCATACTCATGGATATCTCATTCCTTATCTGTTAAAAATTTATAGTTAGTCCTAGTTAGTCCATTGTTTGCCCCAACTGTTATTCACCACCTCAAGGTAATTCAATGATAAAAAAACAAAATTGCCTCTGATTATTTTCAACAAATATTCCCAGGAAAGAGCCTATTCACACTGGGTGAGCTGCTACGCAGGTCTAATAATGGCAGTCTCTTGAGTAAGTTCTTCCCAGAAACCATCAGACAAGTGAGATGATCCTAACTCTCTCTTAGAAAGGGGGCTTTGAAGATAGTCAGCTCTATACTGCCCCCTTCAGCAGCTGCCAGGCTGCAGGTTTCAGTCATTGCAAATGTACTCTCTTCCTTTTCAGGGATAATGTGTAACTAGTAGTGGGAATTTCAACAGAGAAATTTAAAACACAAAGCTCACTATTCTTACCCATATCCTGCCATTTTTCTTGAATATAAAAGCTCCTTTTGTTTCTATAGGTCTTTTGCTGATTTCCAGAGTTCATTTTGTTAATTTTCCCTTATTCATGTTTCTTTTATGAGCAAGAGGATTCTTAGAAGTCATTATGTCACTATTTTCTCTGATGTTGCAAATTAATTCTATATTTGTCTGTACACATCACTGTGTGTATGGGTTATATAGACTTGTAGAACCAGAACTCTTATCATGGCTGATAGGACTCAACACGATCTTACTCCCTGCTTTCCTCTTTAACAGCTATTCCTCATCAATGATAAACCATTCCTGTGGCTCCATTACTGCATCTCAAACATCACAACATCACATGACCACAAACTTTGCGTTTGGTATTCTCTCTGCCTGGAATTTTCTCCCACTAGAAGAAATGTCTCACTCTTCTAACCCTACCTCAGATATCACCTTCTTAGAGAGGCTACCCCTGCCTCCTTTGCTAAAGGAGCTATTTCCTCTTACCCCCCGAGCCTTCCCATCTACGAATTATCAGTCACAACACAATCTATTCTATTCACACCATTTATTAAACTACAAAATTACAAGAATGTTTCAACAAGTAAACAGAAAGTGGAATTATAATTTTAGCATACGTAACATTTTGAAATTGATGCATCTTCAAAAAGTTCATACAAATTGAATATTATGGAAAAGCTACAAATGGATTTCAAAACATTTTACAACAAAAACCCTGATATTTTAATTCCATTTTCCATGAACTTTCTGATGTGCCTTTGTATAATGTTTGTTTTACTCATTTGATTTATTTCTTCCAGTATAATGTGAGTTTCATGAGAATAGTGTTCATGCTATATCCCTATGGCCTGCATAGTTACTAGCACATACATAGTAGGTGTATTATGGAAGATAATTGGATGGTGAGAATTCTACTTACAATCAATAATTCTACATGTAATCAATCCTAACTTGGGATTAGGATCGTAGAAGCATACATATTATTTCAGTTAAATTCCAAGGACAAACCAATCAAAATGTATTGAGTAGTCAATTATACTGAGAAGATGATGAAAAGTATCTTGGATTTCTTCTGCAGAGAAAACTTGATAGGGAAGAATGGTGTCTTGCCTAAGCATTCGGCAGACTGACCTAGAACAAACAGTTTTTCTATCTCAGTCTCCATTTTCTTCATGTGCAAAATACAAAGTGAATCACATGATCCCATGGTGTCTTCCAGCTCCTATCCTCTTGTTCTTAGAGTCTCATAATGCACCCAATTACCAATTAGAGAGAAAACTGCTGTAACTACAAAAAGTAAAATTGATTTCAAGTGCTATCCAATGAAGGAACAAATATGAAACACCAGGATACCACTTTAAGAGAATCTTTTTTATATCTGTAATGGTACTTTAATGTTTTTTGTCAAGGACATTTTGAAGTTTATAGCACAGGAATAAAACATATAATCTTGAATCTGGTTAACCAAATTATGGCTATTGTATTCCAAATTACTCTAAGATGCTACTGAGATTAAATTTTCTAAGGCTTTTCTTTTATTTATTTTAAATGAAATAAGTTGTATATCAAATCCATCAAGTTATAACAGAGATTCAAGATGGGTCTTCATAAGTGTTGCACAATAAATTGGAATATTACTTTGGGTTTCAGCTTCACTGATTCTTATCTCAAAAGACCACTTTGGAGTTAAGGTTTTGTGCAACTCATAAGTCAGGAAAACACAGGTAAGTGGTTAATCAATCAACAGCCAGATAGTTTCCATCTCTGAAGTAGAATAGAGTCCTTACAAAATGCTGCTTTTTCTAGATCCTGATCATCAAGTTTGTATATTCTTAAGACAGAAGCCAGGTGAGTAAATCATGTGAATGATGTATGTATATATTTCTGGGTATTATAATTTCTCAACCATGTCCCCCATGGACTAAAATTTTCTTGGTCCAAACCACAGTGCACATTATAAAATAAGCAACATAGGTGCAGGTTAAATAAAAATTTGGTCACTAACTAGTCTATCTCAAAAGAAGAAAAACCCAGCCACTTTGGATTTCTGCATGGGAGCTGAATAATGCTGCCCCAGCAAAAAAAAAAAAAAAAAAAAAAGAATCACTCCTTTCCTTCAAGAGCATCTGGAACTTGCCACATGATTAATACAACTCTCTGCACCAGCAGAAGTGTGTTGTGAACCCCAGGTAGGTTCAGGTTGAGAGGCAGGGCAGATAAATACAATGACACTAGAGACAGGTTTACCTTATATGTGACAAACAAAAATGTCTCTGAACATTGCAAATTATCCTATGGGAGTCAAAATCCCTCCTACTGGAAACTACTGGTTTGTTCCTCAGAGTATATTGCATTATTAATTCTTAAAAAAAAACTAAACCAATAAAGCCACTATATGGTATACCAATAATCAGCTTAAAAAGTCAACTCAGTTTAGGCTATGCTGTTATTACCAATAAAATAATATTTTATTTGATCTATATTTATTGATCAATAATTATTTTTTATCTAATATAGTCATGGCTATTTTTAGGACAATTTTTCTGTGCTAAATGTTTTACATGCTTTGGATAATTTATATTTCACAAAAACACTACAAGACATCATTCTTCCTATAAAAGAAATCCAAGATATTTTTGGTCATCTTAATATAATTACAGGTAAGCAGCAGTGGAACCAGGATTCTAATTCAGACATTTTTACCCACCCACCCTCACCCTGCCAAGCTCTTTAATCCTTCCTTCATAGCTAGTGACCTTGGAAATTTTGTAGATAACAGAAAACAATGATTAAGAATCCAAGTTCTGAAAAAAAAAAAAAAAAAACCCTTCTTCCTAGATTTAAATCATCCCTAAACTTAGTTTACAAAATGCATCCCTCTCAGAGTAAAACAGATGACATATACACATGCATGCAAAGGTCTGACATAGAATGTTCTCATTTAGGATTTCAAACTCATATGTCTAGCAGAACCAGAGGCAGTGTGCAGGAGTAGAAGGGGCCTAGGTGTTCAGTGTGGAATAGTGGGGATTGCACTATATGGGTCACACACTGTGTGCAGGTTTCCCAACCAACATTTTATAAAAGAAGGTATAAACCAGATAATGCATACTGGCAGACTGCTTTGAGATCCTAAGGCCCCAGTTTACTGAGCCAGCAATTGAAGCCTTCTGAAGTGGAGGAATCTTCTCGGGTTGTGTTGTTCCCTGGGGAGTCAGGGACGGCTCGACATGGAACCTAGACTTCATTTTATCCTTGTCCATTTCTCATCCTACCACCCTAGGTGTGTCTCCTCTAACGCCTTGAAAACCAACTCATTTTTATTTCTGTAACTAAGTTCTGATTTCATAAGATGAAAACATTTATTCACATCAGGACCTGAGCAATGCTTGTGGGCATGCATGGGATTGCTTCTACCAGGGCATGGACCATTTAAATTGCTCCCCACTGGGCATCAGAACCCTCAGTGACAGAACGCACAGTACTCCAGCAGAAGGATTATAGTTTTCTCCATGGAAGAAAAGGGCCAAGGCTTGAGAACAAATGCAACTACCAATTAGACTCCCTCAACACTATATTTAATTTAGAGTCCTTAAAACAAACAAGGATCGTTTTATTTTAAATATCTGGGTTTTTTTAAAGGCTGTCACCCTTCAAACTATCTCTTGGTTTTGATCCTAAGGCAATGGGTTGGCAGGATTTGACAAAGAAAAACATATTTGACAGAGTCATACATTTTTGACATAAAAAGACAATTTAAGAATGCAGAAAAATCCCAAATATTGAATGTGAATTTCCAAATATTTCTGTCAGTTTATTCCAAAACACACACACACACACACACACACACACACGCACACGTATTCTCACTGCCGATTATCATCCAGTAGGACAGAGCTCATAACTGTTTAATTTATCTTTGTTTCCTTAGGACAAACAATAATGCCTACCATATATTTTCTGTTTTCTTAATTTCCCCTTTATAACTTTGAGCCACTGATCCCAGGACTAACCTCATACGTTATGTAAAAAAGAGCTTCTACCTCTTTTCCAAGCATTTGAAGGCTGATTTCATAATTTCCCAATATCTTTTCATTTATAATCATAATGTAATTTCCTTCTTCTGTGACATGATTTCAGATCACTTTAATATGTTGATTGCCCTACTTGAGCTATTCAACTTAGTTGCTTTTACTTAAATTTGGTAGCAGAGAATTCCAGTCACCCTCAACATGTACTTATCATTTTTAGCATAGTGTAGGCAGATGCTACCATCCCAGCTAAAGACTACATTTCCCAGCCTTCTCTGCATTACTTTGACTGTGTGGCTATTCTGGACAATGAGACATGAATGAAAATAATGTGCACTTCTGAGTCATGACTCTAAAGTGAGCTGCCTGGATTTTGGATGTTGTGGTAAGCCCGTTTTACACCATAGACAGGGGAACGCATCTTAGGAATGGAAGGACAACAAATAATAAGTAGTCTCTAGGTCCTTGGATAAGCTTGAAGAGTACAGCTGTGATGTCAGCTTTGTACTGCCTATTTTCAGATAATGACATGATAGAGAAATACGTCACTGACTTAGCATTTAGGAAACAGATGGAGAAGATGTAAATATCGCAAGCTTAACAGTGTTCTTACTATGCTATGTAACATCTCAGAGTGCAATCCAACTGCTGTTTCAAACAGCAGTTTGGTATTGAGAACCCATATTTACTCATTTCACATCCAAAGTCCATTCCACTGTGATCTCCAATCTGACATTTAATATGATTTTTCCCAATCTTCACTTGTAGCCTTCTGCTATGTGATAATCATGCCTCCAGCATTTATTTTGTTTTCAACTAAAATATAAAGGACATGATCCTCTGGAATATCATTAAAGATATCTCACAATTTTTGTATGCACCCATTCATCAAATTTTGGTGAACATTTATTCAATTATATTGAAAATAGAAAATTTCCTCAACTGTTCAGTCACATAAGCTGAGCCTTAATATTCATACACACACACATGCACACAAACATTAATAACCATCTTAATGTATTTGCATGTTAATAAGGTATGTTTGTTGTGCTTTTACCTTGATCTTCTAAACCATAGTTCAGCAAACTAAGGCCCTTTAGTCAAATATGGCTCCCCCCCTTTTTTAAAAAAAAGTTATATTGGAATGTAGTCATTGCATTTGTGTATGTATGTTCATGGCTGCTTTGAGGCTACAATGGCAGAATTCAATAGCTTCTTCATATACTATATAGCTACAAAGGCAAAAATATTAACTATTTGGTACTATGCAGAAAAAGTTCTCTAATGCCTGCTCTAGATTAGCTTTATCCAATATTATTTTTCCACCTAGAAGCCTTTTGAGACTTTGTTTCCTAATCTCTCTGACCTATGAAATTGTAATGCCAGAGATATCCCTTGTACCTGTGCCCGTATTTTGTTTGTGTGTTGTACACTACACACAAAAACTGTAAAACTTTTCACTTTTTTTTTTTTTTTTTTTTTTGACAGGCAGAGTGGACAGTGAGAGAGAGAGACAGATAGAGAAAGGCCTTCCTTTGCCGTTGGTTCACCCTCCAATGGCCGCCGCTGCAGCCGGCGCACCGCGCTGATCCGATGGCAGGATCCAGGATCCAGGTGCTTTTTCCTGGTCTCCCATGGGGTGCAGGGCCCAAGCACCTGGGCCATCCTCCACTGCACTCCCTGGCCATAGCAGAGAGCTGGCCTGGAAGAGGGGCAACCGGGACAGAATCTGGCGCCCCGACCGGGACTAGAACCCAGTGTGCCGGCGCCGCAAGGTGGAGGATTAGCCTATTGAGCCACGGCGCCGGCCAGACTTTTCACTTCTTAAAAAACCAATCTTAGGGCCGGCCCTGTGGCATAGTGGGTAAAGCCACCGCCTGCAGTGCTGGCAGCCCATATGTGTGCCAGTTCAAGACCTGGCTGCTCCACTTCTGATCCAGCTCTCTGCTATGGCCTGGGAAAGCAGTGGAAGATGGCCCAATTCCTTGGACCCCTGTACCCACATGGGAGACTTTGAAGATGCTCCTGGCTCCTGGCTACTGATGGGCGCAGCTCTGGCCACTGCAGCCATCCGGGGAGTGAACCAGCGGATGGAAGACCTCTCTCTCTCTGTCTCTCTTTGTAATTGTGACTTTCAAGTAAAATAAATAAATCTTGAAAAAAAAGCCAATCTTTGCATCATTATATATAATATTTCTCCTGTTGAAAATGCATGCTCTAGTAGAGTCTTTCAGTTTCAGGGCTGTTGATAATTTGGGCCAAATAATTCTTTGTTGTGGGGGCTGTCCTGAGCTTTGCAGGATGCTTAGCAGCATTCCTGGCCTTCACTCACTAGAGGCAAGTAGCACTCCTGTATATAACCTGCGATGGCACAAAATGTCTCAAGACAATCCTAACCATCTCATGGGGAAAGGCAAAATTGTTCCCATTTGAGAACCACTTACTCTAGACTAATAATATTATAAAGGGGGGCTGATTAATATTACCATATCATAAACTTAATAAGTTTTTCCTTATAATAGTTACTACTAATAGATAGTATCTTATCTCTGTTCATTAAAAAATTTTAAATCGATCACCAACAACATCTTCAAATATTTTATTTGAAATTTTCTTCCAACATTGACATTACACTTACTGGTCAGGAGCTGCTTGAATCTCCTTGCCTATCTCCAATCAACTATGACATTTTCTATTTTAACAGCATTCTTCAAAAGCTAGTCAGGGATTCCGTAATCTTATTTAACAATTCTTTCAATGTGTTTCTTCGAAGCGAGGAAAATGGAACTTTTTAAGAGTAATTCATACTATCCATTC